GACAAATGCAATACACACTTTTTTGAGACATTGTCATAAATAAAATATATAATTTTTTTTTCATATTCAAATAATTATGTTATTCACAAAGGAATAAAACAAAAAATAAATTAATAGAAAACTGGAGTGAAACTTCACACTAATAATATAATAAGTATTATTAGCAAATAATTATATTTTTTTGATTGAATTTTGTACATTGGAAATAACAATTTAACTTTGATCTTTATTTGACCATGTGAATTAGAGTGCAAGTTTTCAATGAATAACTATATACAAATTTATTTATAATAAATAATTGTCATTATTATTAAATCTACATAGAAATTGACAAATTTATTTATATGTAATTAATGCAGTTTTAGAGTAAATTTTTTCCTCCAAGTTTATTCAATATGTGTGTGTGCTTTTGGAGTAAAATTGTATTCTACATATGATTTTTAATTTTTACTGTACACTTTTTCCTCCAAGTTTCTTCTGATGTACAATTAATTTACTTGGAGTATGTAATAGATGTACGTGGGAAAATGAAAGTGTATTTATTTTTTCCTTGGTTTCAAATATAACAATAAATATTAGTAGCTTTTTAGCTCTCATACATAATAAAATCTAGTAAAAGTGCACGTGCGATGCACGTGCTGTCGAATGATTTTCGCAGAGTAAGTTTGTAAAATAAATTAATTTATTTATTAAACATATCATTGCATAAATGAAGTAAAATATAGAAAAAATAAACTCATATGTGATTTTTTTTATTTAGAATTAACATAATGATGTCCTCATATAAAAATAGTGAAACAACGTTTTACAAACCCCAACAAAAATATATATAAAAAACAAATTCCTAATAAAAAAATACAAAGATTTTCTTTCATTTTAGTTTTACCGTTCTCATAAGAACATTCATAGTCGTTGGAGTTCAATACATCAATACTATTGCAAAATTCCTCTTAATTATTTGGCAAAACGCCAATTTTATTCAAACACTTAAGAAACATTATGACCCAACATATAGTCAAACTCCATGATCGTATGATCGTTATAACAAGGTACTTCTACTAACAAAGGATAAATATCTCTATGAAATAACCAACGGTGTCACTAAAATTGCTTATATTTTTTATCACTGTATAAACAACTACATTCCTCTATCTTTAGACATATTTGTGTCTACCCCATTGATGCATTGCCCCACGAGGTGGGAATAAATTTTATCTCCAAATAAAAGTTGACTTTCCAAAATCTTGGTTACATGTACTTCTCTCGAGGTGCTAAATTATTTTTTGATATCATCATACATTACCTGAAAGTACATCTAAAGTAATTGCACATGTGTTCAAGCACAATACACCAATGAGATTATAAATATTTCTATAAAAAATGACAACTTAATTCTAACATTCAAAACTGTTTTGATACTCCTACATTTCATTTTCAGTGTTATTTATCTAGAATATAGACGAACAATATAATCTATTTTTTGCAATGATAAAACAAAACAATGAGAAAATATTGAAAAGCATATCATTTGTTATAATATTTGACAACAGAAGAATTAGAATTCTATTATATGACGATACTTTTAGTCATTTGTAAAGTTTATTATTATGGAGTCATGATTAAAATATACATCATGTATATTTTTTAGATTTTTAAATTATTTAAAATTAAAAATAAATAATATATGATCATTATTTATGAGAACCAATTTCTTACAGAGTCCATATATTTAAACGCTAGCAACAAAAAAGTAGTAATTTTAAAAGACTTTTTGTTTGTAAATATTGGTATTCATACTTTTCTAAGAAAATTAGCATGTTTTGTTTTTCTCATTGCATAACTATTATATTATTTGTTTCTTATTCTATAGACAAATAATATTTTATTTGCTAAGTAACTAAAGCACATTTATACGTATTATGTTATTTTTGTATGTGTTTTATCTAATGATGGTATCAAATTATCTTATTTATTGGGCTACAATTAATATAATCACATAAGATTAAATGTAATTTAATATATTTCATAAAATTGTACTTTTTATACGAATTATTAGATTAAAAAGTTTTA